AATTATGAAATTATTCTGAGGTTTAATAAGTTATCTGTTTATATTTGGACAACTTTTCTGCTGCACTTTATTGGAAGGAGAAAAATAATCATTTCCTTAATAAGAATTTAAACAATTTATTTAACTAAAACAATAACATTATAACATACGCATACATGTTTGTTGACTGATGTGGTTAAAACATTTTTTTTAAAAAAAACAAAACTTAGACTGAGTTTTAGCACACATGAAAAACTTAAAACAAATCCTTATTTCCTGATGAACTATAATGTAACTTAAATAAAAAACTATCTTTAGAAAGATTTTTCCTCCAAAAGCATTTTATTTTAAAAATCCAATTTAAATTTGTATAAAATCTGCTTTATTTATTTTTTAAAAAATCATTGAATTTTAGCCACCCTGCATCCAACTTTTTAAGGCACTGGAGGTGGTAACTCAGAACCTTTACAGGCTGAAAATGGACGCTACACTGATGTCAACAGGGTATTCTTTAAAGCACCCCAGTGACAATAATAGACATCTGAAAATAATTTCTAAGAGAGTGTGTTAACACACTTCAGCTGAAAAATGTTCATGCTGATCAAGCTTAGCTGGGTAAGCTTTAAACTCCCGTAGCTTTCCAGCCGCTCTGTGGAAAGAGGGTTCGGTGAACCTAAAAAAAAGAGAGGGCTCGGTTTCAAGTTACACAACTTCTGCTTGTCTGATTAGATATGCTGGACTCTCTTGCCAGTGGTTTCAGTGACACCCCTACCTACCCAACTGATGGCAGACAAAAAGCGTAGGGAATAAAGCCGACCTTGACGGAAAAACGTTTCAGATTTGGGACCATCTGAGGTGACAATTAGGCAAAAGAGCTCTTTTGTTTATTTAATAGATGCTAAAGGGCCGATGGGAACATGGACCCTCTGAAACCCTAGACATTGCGTAAGAAGCTGGCCTGAGTGCAGAAATATGGAAGCCTTGTGCAAAGGTTGCCAAGTGATATTTTGGATGGATAAAAAAAATCAGGACCCAAAGCTAGCAGAACAGTGCACTCCTTGGTTAAATCCGTCATGGAAGCAAGCATCCTCTATGGCAGGTTCAAGATGAGTGGATTCCTTTGAGACGAGCTAGTAATTTGCAAAACAGGAATACTTCGCAAGCACTTGAGTATCTTCTGTGAATAAGCAAAGTTTTGAAAATAGCATACAACTCTGTTACTCCTTTACGTAACCCTTGCTTGGTTCACGAATCAGAACTTGATGTTTCTGCTAAGATCCCCCTTTTTATTTTAAAAAAAACACATTATTTTGCATTTTACAAATTCAGTGAACAGACCACACTTGTGAGATACCCCAATTGGCCTTCTCAAACACTAGGTTTCATTCTGCCAGCAAAACTGGCATGCCCTAAACTAACACAACGTGTGCATAAAGAGCCTTTTGTTATGCAGCTTTACAATGGGAATTCAGTTACGTGCCTAATCCAGAATAATAGGGTGCTCTTCCCTCCCATCGGACAACAGAACTGACACAATACCTCATGACTGGAAGTTATTGTCTCTGTGTTAATTGATGTTTGCTTAGTTATTTAGAAGTAGGATGTTTTGTATGCAATTTTCGCCCTGCCACGCTTTGAAGACAAAGCTTGCAGCTCAGCATATCCACTCAATTATATTACCAAGATACACAGACAAAACCGACACCACAACGTAGCAACAAGTGCTTTGATACACACTCCAGTGGGTTGTACCCTTTTTCACCCTGTGATCTTTTTTGTCTTCTTTCTTTTTTAAAAACCCATTAAAGTGCAAATGGGCAAACACACTCAAGAGCATACCCCGCTCGCATACTGGAGAAAATTTACTGCAGACACCCAGCTATGAATACCTCGTAGATCCCAGTGCTAACTCCTAACTGCCGAAGTCCCGCTGGTATTAATTTACTTCAATGTAAATTAAACTGCTGGAGCAAAGGCTCCACTGTTGGAGAAAGTTTGCTTCTGAATGCCACTTGCCCAGAACCACAGGTGAGGAGAGTGTGGCCACACTCAGCTCCTGCTTGCAGACATCCCATAGGTATCTAATTGGCTGCTGTGAGAACAGGTTGCTGGACTAGATGGGTCACTGATCCAGCAGGGCTCTTCTTAAGTTCATATTCGCATAAAATATTTCTGATGCTAGCATTATATATTTGGAAGCGCTAAGACACCAGGATCGTCCTGCTGGCAACACCTGGTCCTCTTAGGGGACAAACATATAACAGGCAAGGAAGAAGACCCACAAAAATAAGGATCTCGGCAGAGCAATGTACAGTCGTGCCTTGGATCCTAAATGCCTTGGCACTTGGACTTTTTGGCTCCCGAATGCTGCAAACCGGAGAGTGAGTGTTCCGGTTTGCGAACGTTCTTTGGAATCCAAACGTCCAACAGGCTTCCGCAACTTCCGATCGCGTGCAGGAAATTCCTGCAGCCAACTGGAAGCCGAGCTTTGGTTGTTAAATGGACTTCTGGAACGACCAAGGTACAACTGTACTCACGAAATAAGAGCACACCCCCAAATCAAAGGGTAGAGGGGCACAGCTATCACTGGAGCGGCTCAAAATGCAAATGGACCAGGACCATATGTAAGTTTGCAACTTTGTGAACCACCGTGTGCAGTTTGAGGCTATCAATTTTAGGCAAAACACCGCCAGACCTATTGCTTATGAACATCCCTTCCTTATCATTTCGGCTGTGTAATTACAGCTAGGAGAGTGACTCTTGATGATGCAGTGGTGGCGATTCCCTTGCCCTTTTGTTTTATTGGGGAAACTTGCATCAATAGTTACTGCTGCCTTGTCTTCATAGGAGACAGATCTTCCTTGCCTGGCAACACAAATGGATTTCATTCCCTGTCCTCTCGTTTTCTTCCTTTTTTCTAAACAATGGATTATGGGTTAGGCATTAATCCTTAAAAGGGGCACATGCAGGAAGGAATGGAAGCAACTATGTCAAGGGCAGGAATGAAGTACTGGCTGCGTTGAGGCAGAGTTACTACTAGTATAACTCAGAGGGACTTAGGTTCTGCAGCAGAGTTTGCCAAACTTTTCATGCTGATGACACAATTTTTAGACATGCATCATTTTGCAGCTCAGTAATTCAGAGGTTAAACTAACCCTTTTCCAGCCCCCGGGAGGGGTACAGGAAGCGTTCATACAACATACCTACACATTACAGCCAACACATTAATGTGTTGCGACGCACAGTTTGGAAAGCTCTGTTCTACAGGGTAGGGGTGGAGGCAATAGTGACCTCATCTGAAACATCAATATCCCTAAATGAAATAAATGAACGTTGGTTTATCCCAATATAGTAATTCTTCCTGCAGTACATAATCAGACAAAGTAGCAACCCAAGAGCACACAAGTTTCCTTGCCTTGTTCTTCTAATCTTCATTCAAGAGCCAGTGTGGTGTAGTGGTTAAGAGCAGTAGACTTGTAATCTGGTGAACCGGGTTCACTTCCCCGCTCCTCCACATGCAGCTGCTGGGTGACCTTGGGTTAGTCACACTTCTCTGAAGTCTCTCAGCCCCACTCACCTCACAGAGTGTTTGTTGTGGGGGAGGAAGGGAAAGGAGAATGTTAGCCGCTTTGAGACTCCTTCAGGTAGTGATAAAGCGGGATATCAAATCCAAACTCTTCTTCTTCTTCTTCTTCTTCTTCATTAATATAATACTCAGAACAGTGGAGGATCTTGGCTTGGCATTTTGGTGGTACAAAGCCAACCACGCCAGCTAAAGCTTCTGAAGGGTACAGCACACTGTCCACTTGTTGCAAACTTGCCACTGGCGATCAAAGCAGACGAAGGCACAAAACCAGTACATGGCATGGTTTTCTCCTGTAGTTTTATAAATAACAACCCAAATGCACACACATACGACTACTTCGTCAGGATGTTAAATATTTTAAACTAATACAGTTGTACTTTACAAACTTCACTTTCAGTGCAAGTTGCCTTACTATTGGAAGGCAGCAATGAGCCAGGTTAGCTCCAGAAACAAAGAATCGGGAAGTGGTGCCAAAACATGGAAGCAATGCATGGAGAAATAGAATATCTTCACTAAACAGCTTGTGGAAACAGTAACAGCCGTGGCTGCCTATATTAGGGGGCTTCAGAACACGTTTAATAAATTAATTGTGACAGTTTAATCATGTGGCAAATTGGTTCTCTTTATTCACCCTTAGTTCTTAAGATTCACTGCTATTTATTATTCCACTTAATGTTCTTTCTAGGTATGAGCTTATACACCAATGGCAATATAAAGATATTCTCACAGCTTATCCATTCACAAATCCTGAGTTCCCCAGACTCACCTCCTGAAAAGTTTAGTTCGGGCACTGGGATCTGCCCTATATATTTTGCTGTGAAGACAGATGCAAAGAATTCATTCAGCACCACTGCAATCTCCTTCTCCTCCTTTAGGGTCTAACCACCGCCCTAGACTGCTGCCTGCTACTAATATATTATCTTGTTGTTGTTGGTCTTAATGTTTTTAAGCATTGTCCCAACTCTTCATTACTTGACTAATTTTTGCCTTGTATGAAATGCTCACTTTGTACTACTGCATACTTACATCCATGTGGCACAGACTTGTGGCTTTTGAGCAACAACTAAAATTAGGGGAGAAAGACTTGGAGTGGGGGGTAGAAAGAGGGACTGCTGGAAATCAGACAAGGAAGTGGCCACCAGCCGGGTCTCCGGTATCTCCTCCTTACTTAACACGTTTTTTCTTGTACATTTACTATGATGTGTGTAAGTAAGGAGCAAACTGCATAAACTTACAAGCAGTGTGTGGGAAGGGGAAGGAAACCACAAAACTTTACGAGAAGAAAATAACAGAAGACTTGTCTCAGCATATTGGTTTCAGCAACATCCTGCAAGGCTAGGCTGATGCTTCAAAAGGCCGAAGAACCTTTGAATTGAACAACTGGCAGGTACTACAAGGGGGATCTACTCCAACCTGGTGCGGTGCATGAATCTTCTGCCCAATGGGGGGTTTGAACGCACAGCCCTGAGTTTAAGAGTCTCATGTTCTACCAACTGAGCTAAAGGGCCCGCTGAGCCAGTTCCCAGAACCAGCAGTTCCACAATGGTCTCAGAACACCAACGGGGAGGATAGATTAAAAGTTGCAAAAGTGAGGAACATACCTGCACTCTTGCTGGGAAGGAGGCATGGAGGAGTGAGATGGCTTGTCACAGGGAAAAGAGGAAATCCATTCCCTAGAAGACGGCTTTAAGAGATGGGAAAATTCTAAGTGGCATGTGGTGGGTGTGCCGATATGCACACACACACACACACCCCAATTTTATTTTTATGAGCAGCTCCACTGGTGTAGAACACAGATGATATACTTGCCCGAGGAATACCATACTCTAAGCTGCTGAATTTAGGAATGGAGAGCTGGGGAGGGGAGCAATTGTGCAGGTGCCGCAAAAGACCGAACTACTACATATTCCACCTTGCAAGGTACAAAGGAATTGCCCCTGGCACACCATCAGAAACGGCAACTCATTGGATCATTATACAAACAATAGCCCACAATAGGTTATTGTTAAGAAAGCCTCATAAGCCTCTGTCATTTAAGTCTCACTTCACACGGAAGTTCCTGGAAGGGAACATGTCTATACAATTTCAGCCTAGCAATCAGCAAGACTATCCTTTGTTCTTGGCTTACCCTTCAAACAAGTGGACACACACACACAAACCTTTTTTAGTTTTCGACATTAGAACCCACCATGTGCTAAAAAAAACCTTCCTTGCCACTAACTAAAATGATGCAGATTACCAAGACGACCCAAAACTAGGAGAACTCACCAGCTCCCTCCCTCCCTCTCTCTTTTTTGAAATGGTGGTCCCTACATGACCATCATTAACACAGCTTGAACCAGCTTAAGCATTAGATCTTTACAGCATAGAATGCAATCCCAAAAACCAGTATTCCTGTCTCCCAAAACCTAGTGAGAAATATAGGCTGAAGTAGCAGTGGGGGGAAAATGGGGTGTTTTTTTTAATCCAGCCGCATAATCATACCAACAATAAAATTACAAAGAAGTGGGTTTTAAGGAAGGCTGGTGGAAAGTTTAAGGGGTAAACCGTTCAGGATGAGGCCCAAATTGGTGTCAAAAACTGCCCTAGCCATTTAAAAGTATGAGGCTGAGCAAACCATAATTCTAATAACTTGAGTTTTAGGCCTTTAAAAACACGGGCCCTTTAATGTATCACAGTGATCTGAGGGTGCAACTGCACTGACAGTCTGAAAGAGGAAAATCATCTATGCACCAGACATCTTGTCCCCTGTAAATCAGAACAGGATGGTAGAAAGGCAAGTGTGAAGTTTACACCGCCAGGGCCAAAATTAGGCTTCCCTCTTGTGAGTATTACTACTAAGAGGCAGCATTTCTTTGCAGAACTCCAGTAATGCAATAGAGGTATAGTGTAAAAAAAATGCATTTGATGATGACTCAGTCCATTTAGTCTGAAGGAGAGGTTATTTGGGGAGAAATGAGAAACCATGAGCCTTCCCCAGCTTTTTCAAGGTGGGTTTTGCTCATCTCCTTAAAATGTGCCAGTAAAAGTTGCTCCTGTCCACTTGGAGAGCTCAGAGAGTTTATTTTGAGAACACTTCCAAGAGCTAAAGTCAGAAGGAGGAAGAGACCTGGGAAAGTTTTGAGCACAACAGAAGTTAATCTCTTTGCCAATATGCATCATTTTAACAAGTGATGGGAGAATTTTTTTAATTATTTTTTTTGAAGAGGCAAACACATCATCTTCTAAAACTAGATTGTCACAAGTGACGCACTTATAACTTCCAAAGTTTTTTTTTTAATTAATAGCAACTGTAAATTTTGCTGGAGTAACCAGTTGGGGGAGGGGGGGAACTTTAACTTTCCCCACCAACCACTGGTTCCTACAGTCAAATTCTCATGAGCAGCTCACATTTCTATTTTACACACACACACACACACACACACACACACACACACACACAATCTTTATATAAGTGTTTTATTTGTAACCTATAACTTGGTCCTTAAGGCTATTGAGGTGTCAGCTGTCAAGTTGAACTTGTTACACAAACTTTTTGTTTCAAAGTAATAGTAAGGCCAATTTATCTTCTTCTCAGATTCTTTCTCTAGAACACGAAACATGAACTTTCAGATACAAATACTCACTCACGGCACTTAGTCCCCCAAGCTGCTTCATGCATGCTTGCACATCACTTTAGCCCTCTACATTTCACTGCTGAAAGCTGAAGGTGTCAATGAACTCCAACAGAAAACACCAGGGATTATGTGAAATCATCACCTCTGGGTTCCAGCAGCTCTCCATCTAGGCCGCAACTAAACTGGACATTTAAAGCAGCAACATACCGTACTTTTCCGTGTATAAGACTAAAAAATGATGTTAAAAAGGGGGGGTAGTCTTATACATGGGGGCAATCTCCTCCCATTTTCTTAATTTTGAGCCCCCCAAAATAGGAGGAGTCTTATACACGGGGGCGTGTTATACACAGAAAAATACGGTACATTCTTTAAACAGTCATGGCTTCCTCCAAATAATTTTGGGTGCTGCGGTTTGTTACGTGTGCTGCCATTATTCCCAAAGTGGTTTAACAATCAATCCCTCTTCACAGGGAACTCTGGGAATTGTAACTCTCTGAGGGGAATAAGGACTGACCGTCAACACTGCCCATGTGCAAGGAACACACAAGTTAACTTGCTACCTTTCAGGGACAGGATGTACTGCAATTGGTACTAGGATGTACTTTAACCACCTTAAAGGTAAAGGTAAAGGGACCCTTAACCATTAGGTCCAGTCGTGGCTGACTCTGGGGTTGCAGCGCTCATCTCGTTTTATTGGCCGAGGGAGCCGGTGTACAGCTTCCGGGTCATGTGGTGAGCATGACTAAGCCGCTTCTGGTGAACCAGAGCAGCGAACGGAAACACTGTTTACCTTCCCGCCAGAGTGGTACCTATTTATCTACTTGCACTTTGACAGGCTTTCGAACTGCTAGGTTGGCAGGAGCAGGGACCGAGCAATGGGAGCTCACCCTGTCGCGGGGATTCAAACCGCCGACCTTCTGATCGGCAAGTCCTAGGCTCTGTGGTTTAACCCACAGCGCCACCCGTCAGCAAAAATGTCTGGTGCTACTTTGCTTGACGAGGAAGTAGGCACGGACTTTTAAAACCAGCCACACATCACCATGTTCCTATTTTGCAGACAACTTCTGCAGTCGCTCCCTGTATTCCTTTCCGGCTAACTAAAGGTAGCATTGACAGGAGAACATATGATCCATTGGCAGAGAGAATGTGCAATCCCCGAGGCATTTGCAGAAGATACTCTCCAGATGTAAAAGGATACAACGGCGCTGCGAAAGAGGCACACAAACGGCTTCTCATTTACCTGCATCAGCTGGCTACCTTCCCCCACAAGAGAACTGAGGCTGATTTAATATTAATAGGGTGGAAAGAGCATCCAAAATTCAGCTAGATCAGAATTCTATGAAAAAAAGAGTACCAGGCAACTAAAGGTGCTTTCTATCTTGCAAACTGTTTGTCACAGTTCGGCTTTCTCTATCAGAGAAATAATTCAAAGAATTGGACGGGACACATACACACACACACACGAGTTAGAAGTCATTGCACAGAGACTTTACCATGTCAGCCCCATCTACCTGGTCAACCAACAGAGAGTGTTCGCTGAGCCTAGACTGCAATTATACAGCCAATTTAAAGTACCAGAGACCTGATTGTAGCTTAATGTTTGCATTCCTACCCGCACACATTCTGACTTGTTCCAAAAGGAGGAGCTTGCCATTCACCAAAACGTATTTTAAAAACCACCATTATATAGGAGGGGGCAGGAAAAGGATCTAGGCTAGCAGAAAATGTTTGTGAAAGTTAATGATCTTTGCAGATGTAGAACAAAAATGACCTCTTTATAATAAATACCCTGCAGCTTTCTTCTTTTTTTAAAGGAGGGGAATGTGGCTTTTCTAACCTGGCAACCTATGCTGGTCTGACACCAGAGTAACCGAGCAATTTTGTTATCCAAGCCACTGTAAAACAAGAAGAGATTTATTCTTCTGCCATGGAAGAAAACTTGGGTTTTCACAAAAGGTACTGAGCAAATTACGCTTCTCAACCAATTCGGTGAAAGAGGATTGCGACAGGATAGAATAGGATATAATTTTCACATTAATTCCTTAACTTTTCCTCTCAGCCACAGCGCAAGGCCTGCCACAATGAAATCTGCTGCTGTCAGTGCCTATAAATGTCTAAGAAGCATGGCTGGAAACCGGGTATTCATTTCTCACAAGAGCACACAGACCTAGGAATTCACCATTCTGCTAATTGTTTCAAAGCAACGCAAACAACTGCCAATCGCGAACAAGTCAAGCTGAGCAATGATCCAAAGAGACCAAGAGAATTTGGTGGGCGGGGGAGGGGGGCTGTAAACTGAGATGATGCTTAGTAGACAAAAGCTGCTAGGCCTCAAAATCCATTTACTGAATTAAATGGCCAGGAGGGGCTTCCTTTGAATAACAACTTTAATCTTCCAAGAATGGACTCCAACTACGTTTTAGCTAAACAACTGGTATTATGCAATAACAACTGAAGCAAACTGGCAAGAGCTGCTGTAGCAGAGCAGCTACGGGTGAGAGAGCTTGGAGCTCCCGATTTAAGTAATCTCGGCCATAAGCCCACTAGGTGGCCTTACAGCGAGCTACTGATTCAGCCTCAGGCCCCACAACTGCAATACAACGGATCTACTTAGTTTTACTTATTTCATTTTTAATCCTGCGGTGTCCCTGTGAGGACCTCAAGGAAGCACAGGCAGTTCTCACTTGATGCATTTTGTCCTCACTACCTGTCAATTCTTTGGCTGTTTAGCTTTCTAAAAATACAGAGTTAAAGAAACCTCCCAACTATTGTGTCATAATATGAGGGGAGATAGATATATAGATGATAGATAGATAGATAGAGAGATAGAGATAGATAGATACACACACACACATACATACACATATTTATACATACATATACATAGACA